CGAGGCAATTTGCATATTTTATAGTGCCCTCAGCTCAAGATTGGAATAGTACATCCTGCATTCAGCCCTTTTTCAGTCTCCTCTGTCTTTTATCTAAAAACGAATTATATTTCGTTGGGCAACTTTCATCGTTCATTACCGAGTTTTAATTCAAAATAATGTGCCTTTCAATTTCAATTAAAGTATAACCACAGAGTTGAGGAAATGGTGTCCAGCTTGATCTACAACGGTTCGGTACAGTTAAGCATTTAGACTTACACTACTGGCCGATTGTGATGCACTGAAATAGTTTCTTTATGATCAAATGGAGTTTCATTATAATTATCACCTGTATTAATGCTTTAGGTATGGAAAGTAATTTATATCTTGTCTACTGCGATCTAAGTAGTTTCTAGGCTGCATAATTGTCAATTAAACATGCCTGACCTTGGGTGCCAGGATTAAATGATCTGAACATGAAAACCACAAACTTTATCAAGTATGAAAACGCAATATAATCTAATAGGAATAAATCAAGAATTATCCCAAATTATTTCCACAAACCCTTGCCATCTCGGATGTTTGCTATGAGGCATTACTTTTATCCGACATATAATCCATCATAGTAACTCTATTGAATAACCAAATGAAAATGTTTCACAACCCTGGGAACTACGTAATCGAAAACAAGTGAAATATCTGTTACTAAGTTTACACATTTCACTGGTTTATTTACCGTATTTCATTGTTCGCTGTGCAATGTGTTCACGTTTTTTTCGTGAAATCGTTGGATACATACCTTATGACGAGTGTTGGTTGGCATCAGTGCCGCTCTTATTTATCATAACCTTAGTGACTCATTAAGATCAAGATTATTCATGAACTATAGAAGTACACCGCTCAAACGCAATCGTTAAGATGACCTGTGTGTGACCTGTCCAGTTTCGTCAGCAAAGCTAACTGCTATCATCGTTCATTCGTTCGCAAAGGCGCATCAGTGTGGCGGCGGTTATCGATCGATCTGGGCTACAACAGAGATACACTACCCTACTTATCGCCAGGGCAAATCGCGATCATCGTTCCCTTCTTGACACTGCTACGTTCGTGCCGCAGAGTCGATTAAGTGAATTTCACTCCTGACAGCCAGAGTAATCTTACGGTCATGATTCTGATGACAACTGTAAGAAAAATGCTTAGTAAAATAGACCTCGGGAATCCATCTTGCCGTTGATTTCGAGCAGTCAACTTTCAAACAGCGTAGAAGTCATCCATGCATTTTTTATAATAATAATTATTCTATGATATAGTTTTTTGGCCCATTTATACCACCGAGACATCGTGGAGTTTCCCTGAAATCCCCAGAGATTTTCCTTCAGAGTCCCCAGGTGCAACGGGTTGATTCAGCGTTTCCAACAGATTATGCTTCTCTCTAATGAATAATTACCTGTAGATTGTCACTTCAAATGTCAACGCCGGACACTACTGTGTCTTCCTTTCACTGGGTGAAAAGTCATGGGCTGAAAGCGGTATTGCGTGTTGATTGTTCAAAAGTCAACCCACACATCAATCAGCACACGAAGCGGTCGACACTGCATAATGAGGACCCACGTTGTTACGTATGCGGTTGGTTTGGATTTGCTAAAAGTGGGAACTTATTGGAAAATGTGACTTCTCTTGAATGCGACATAGCAAGACATTAACTGTATCTAATGCTTATGTCTAACTCATACCGCCGGCGTCTATGCGCAGACAATATTCTTTGGTTTGGTCTTTCAAATACTTGTATCTGGGATGTGTGGTTTCTTCACATATCTCTAGTACGCAACGTTAAGTGCATGTCGTGCGAACAGGACATTCTTGTACAGTTACGTTGTAAGCCATCAATACGTTTCGATGTTTAGTAAGTTAGATTCTACGGACCGCGGTACACACACAAACCAACAGATTGTGATACTAGCAATCTTCAGGGGCTGATCTACGACCTAAGCTTTCTTTTGTTTCCTTGCTGTCCGCACCTGTAACCATCCTCAACAAACCTGTCAATTACAGATCAATGCAGAAGTCTCTTGGCTCCAAGTCTCACGCACCGTGGCTGCTGCCCGCTCAGGACAACCTCTTGATCCACAACTTCATCCGTTGTATACACAACACTTCCGACCCAGTATGTGGTTTGCACAGCTGGCTCCGCTCAATGCAGACCTGACAACCTGGCATAGCAACCTTTTGGGGCCGACTTGTTTGAAGTGGACAGGACCATCCAAGTGGCGACTGCGGGAATCTCGTCCTCGTGGGATGGGTAATGGCGGCGATAAAGTAACCGAATCTATTCAGTCGGTTAGTTTTTTTAATCTTTTTCACTCCGTTTATTTGATTTTGAATGTTTTGTTAAACCGAGGGCCATCAGACGAGGGACGGTTAAGTAGGGTATTACTTTTGGGATTCGAACTCAAAATATACAATGGTGGATGGACGGCCTTCAACGCTTGACTGCCGTCCTCGCAATCTGAACACAGTTTGTGGCACATCGAAATCTAAACGGTGCGATTTTTATGGACTCATTTTTCTGCCCTGCTACATATAATGTTATATATGTATATAATGTAGGATCTCTGGAGAATATTCTGTGATGTGGATTGCATACTGCAAATCCGTCCCAACGATCGAGTGACGCACAAATCCCGAAGTCAACAGCAGACGAGATTGTCTTGAAATGCGGTACTCTTGTAGACAGCGAATGATTAATATAAATACCAATCTCGAATCGTGAGGCAACTCGCGGAGTGCGTATTTGCACAGTCAAGGCACAACCAAATGATACAATGCGTCTTCATTAAAATAGTTGAGATTAGATTACAATTAGAACATATCAAAATGAGCCCTCAAAGGCTCTCGAGGTGTTCAAGTCAGCAACTGCGAGTGCAGTTCAGTCAAAGTCAATGGTCAGAATGCCTTGGGTGGTTAGCTCATGTGCACAAGGGTTCAATGGCTGAAAGTCAACCAATCAAATTTACGGGGCCAAGATCCCAATCATGTGAGGGCCGGGAACAATGAACTTGTGGTGGGATGCATGTGCGTGTGTGTGTGTGTGTGTCGATCGATGGATGCTTACCGGGTCATGATTAAGGAGAGCATGAGGTGGTGAGGGCAAACAACTAAGGCCGAAGGTGATACGGGTCACTGGCGGGAGAACGCACATGGTCGCATCACTAAACCCATTGGGTCAATGCAGTTAGAAAAAGGGAAGAAATGACATATCCAGAGAGAATGAACGATGGCTGAGGAAAGGTACTTGCGGTTTGGAGTGTGATAAGGGGAATTCGGTTTAGAGAGCGGAACGGATTCAACATATAATCTGTCCATACATATGGTGTTTTATGGTGGAGAAGTAACCCTGCTGTCAGACTACTTGTGTTAAGATCAGATAGTCTTTCGTTAATCGAAATCATTTCACTGCACCGTCTGAGATGGCTTGGGACATCCTAGATATCAGAGAAGTCTGAAAGTGACAAAGACAGATCTGTATGTCGATTGTGAAAAGTTCAGTAGCCTCGGTGGGGTTCGAACCCATGCATGGACGCCGCCTACGCTTTGTACGCGCATGCTCTACCAGCTAAGCTACGAGGCCACACCGATAGCACTGATCTTTTCACATTCGAATTTACCCATACAACTTACAGAGGCATGTGGCATCCACCAGTTAGCATGTAAGCTGACTTTTCACAATCGACATACAAACTTCAAATCTGCCAAACAACTATCTGAAAAAGACAGATCTGTTTTTCGGCACTTCTTATCAGACCAATACAGTACACACAATCGAACATGTATAAACACAACACAGCGTGATAATCCGTAGTGTAAGTACTCATACAATCATCCGGAGGAATCGAGAGAAGTGTATATCACAAGCCTACGGGGAACGGGCAATACACACATCTTCAGTGCTTCGTACCAATGCAACATAAACGAAATTTTGTGAAATTTTGTCCATGGAGCCAGACAAATCTGCTCCGCAAACAAGCTTCCAGATGAACTGTTTCTGATAGGCAACAGGTTAAGGGGAAACGGCTATCCAGAAAGCTTCATCAAAAGGCACATTGCGACTGATTCTCAACCCTGTCATTCTACGGTCCCTAAGAAAAGGGTTTATGCAACAATTGATTTCAAGAGGGATATGCTAGCCGAAACGCTAACTTGTCGATTATCCCACGCCACTGAAAGAACTTATTTTGCTGTTAAACTCTGTCTCTCTTTTACTACGAAGCCTATGCTGCAGTTACTACTCAAAGACAAGTTGCCTAGTCAGTCTACCTCATTTTGTATGTACTCTTATTCGTGATCCTGTGGAGCGGAATACATAGGAAGGACCACTAGGCGATTGTCAGAGAGGATTCTAGAACACTACCCAGCTTGGCTATCGAAGGGGATCAACAGAATTGCGACTAGTGTCATCCTAGCCCACGCACTCGACACGGGTCATGAACTGACACGTAAGGGGGCATTCAAGGTCATCTACCGGGTAGCATATAACCGATCAAAAGGGGTGAGACAAGGAATTCTGTGCACAGCCGAAGCGACTGCAATTAGGCTAAGCTAACTAATACTATGTTCACAAAAACAATTTATCAAGACCCCACTGCTGCCCTAGCCAGTAAGATCGTGAGACAGACACATCAGTTTGACTCATCCTTGACTGGTCCATCCGGACACAGTCCTCAGCATCAGTCATCATAATAATTGTATGAGTACTTACACCACGAATTATCACGCTGTGTTGTGTCTATACATGTTCGATCGTGTGTACTGTACTGGCCTGATGAGAAGTACCGAGAAAACAGATCTGTCTTTGCCACTTTCAGACTTCTCTGACAGAACAATGGGAATATGTTGTGATCTAAAACATCCTACATATGTCTGGGCAACGCGTGCCCCACCGTATTATATTTACGAAAGGGATGTGAGTCGAAGCTAAATGATGGTGGATTTTAGCTAAAGCTTGATAGGAAAAGGTGTGCATGACAAAGCTTTTTCTTCTTGTTAGTTGGCAGTCCGTTGTCACATTGGTTTATATAAACCTGTGAAAAACGTTAAACGGTTTTTTGTTCTCTCTCTCGCGCGCGCACGCGCATCTTTCCATCATTCCATCACTATATATGGACGCGCTACTCTCGATCTGAATAGCACACTAGCACCGGATTCGTTATCCTTTGTTACTAATTCGGCTTCTTGTTCCCTGTTTGACTGAGTTGCGCGTTCCATTTCTCGGTTATCCCCAGGCCCATTCCAGACCCACACTGTCGGCGATTTTGGCCACCGGCTGGGATTCAGTGAGCCTGATTGACCCAGACCAGGGAACCTTACTGGCCACACATCGGCTACCGTGTCGTCCGACACATTCACCTACTTTGCTACGCCTGTCACAGTCCGATACGGATCGGTCGATTGTGGGCAGCGAGTTTATCATTCCGTGCGAGGGAATGTGAGTCATGAGTCTGTTCACTATCACCGATCTTGAGTAATCGACAGTTACACGAATTTTGGTGAACGAATAGTTTGCTTTTTATCCCGTTTGCGTTTCAGTGGATCTGGGCCTAAGCGGAATAATTCTATTCTGAGCAGAAATTAACGCAATTCCGCGATTGTATGCCATGTTGCCTTCGCCTCTTTTGGTCTATTCCCATTCATTCATTCATTCATTCATTTCACACAACTCATGTGCCACAAATTTATCGAAGAAATGGATCGGATGATCATGCACTTAACTGTCACATTCCGGCAAACCGGTTTACGAGCGGGCTAAACCAGATCTGAAGGTGACCAGG